TCATAGAGTGACTGTATGTTAGCATAATTGTGTAGGAGTCTGTTGTAGGGTGGTTGTGTGTTAGCACAATTGTGTAGGATTCTGTCATAGAGTGACTGTATGTTAGCATAATTGTGTAGGAGTCTGTTGTAGGGTGGTTGTGTGTTAGCACAATTGTGTAGGATTCTGTCATAGAGTGACTGTATGTTAGCATAATTGTGTAGGAGTCTGTTGTAGGGTGGCTGTATGCTAGCATCATTGTGTAGGAGTCTGTTGTAGGGTGGTTGTATGTTAGCACAATTATGTAGTAGTCTGTTGTAGGGTGGTTGTATGTTAGCACAATTGTGTAGGAGTCTGTTGTAGGGTGGTTGTAAGTTAACATAATTGTGTAGGAGTCTGTTGTAGGGTGGCTGTATGTTAGCACAATTGTGTAGGAGAACTGAACTTGTTGTTTGTGGAACTTTATATGCTGTAACGAGGACCGAGTTTTGTGTTGTTTGTAATTTTTGTTTAATTGTGTGTATGGCTAAAAGTTAATCCAAGCTGGGTAGATATATTCTATTACCGAGTGTTTGTAGATTTTAAATATGTTTCTCGGTGCATGTTATTTTCAGATATACTCTTGAAGTTTTGCATTATTGTTGTCGAGACTAAATATTGGCTAGTATGTGGCTTAATGTATGGAATTTCTTAAAGGTTTATAAAATAACACAAATGATGTAAAACATGTTTTTAGGAGACTTAAATCTTTACTGAGGTGATTTATTTTTGAAATTAGGCCTATCTTTCGTTAAGCAGACTTTCTAGTAGGATAAATTGAATGCTTTCATTACCAGAACTGAGAGGATTTGACTTTACATACTTTTTTTTACTGAATAATCCAATAAATAGACCACTTAACAATAGAAACCATTAAATTATTAACTTTTCATTGGACCAGTGCTGATAATGTAAAAATAAGGGCTATCTGCCATAATGTACAGTTCTAATTTTTTTAAACGAATGATATTGAATATCAGAAATTAACAACAAAAAATAGCATCTGCTGATAGTCTAAGTTTTCATATTTATGTTCCAGCAATGAGAATGGATTCAGAAAGTGAATAAAATAATAGTTTATCCAGAAACTTCCATAAATCTTTATGCAACTTTCGGCAAAGTTATTTTCAACTTGAGAGTTAATCTAGATATTTCTACAAATTGTCAGGTGGAATATTAGATTTTTTTAATATTAATAATAAAAAATTTCATGTGAAAATTTTAACTATAATCCCAAAAACTTCATGTAAACGTATGGAAAAAAGATTGTATAATGGAAGCCAAGCAACATTATTGTTAAGATGTTGGCTATAACTCTGATATAAATTAGTAATTAGTTACAAAGTTTAAAAATATTACACTTACTGCTGTCCACCAATTGATTTGTATATAAAACGTTGAAGTCAATAAGTGATATAAAAGATAAGACAAGTTGAAATAAATCAATTTTAATTTCTTTAGCAAAAAAAACAAAAAAACAAAACAAATGAGGATCAGATATAACAGTTTAGAATTTTTGTTCATAATTTGCTTATTACAAATCATATTTACTAATTAAGTACATACTTCCCTTCATGAAATACATATTTTAAAAGTCACTTAACAGGAAGTGGGAGTAAACTTGTGTTTTTTCCCTATAGATTGTAATTTCCAGAAAGCAGATTTTCCAAAATAAGCTTGTGTCCCACAACTTTAACATGCCAATAATGATTTTAATGTAATAATCCCTTGCACTTGCCACACTTTTATTAATACAATATTGAAATTCAGGATACATTAGGTACACTTTATTCATCAGTAAGGCAAAGGTCTTTGCCCACCGTGTAGGCAGTTACGTACATCATAGAGGAACGTTTCTTTCTGTAAGTTTCTATAGCCGTATCTCTAGTCTCGTCCCAAGCAAAAAGGTCTCTGTTGTTGATAAAAAATAAGCATTTCAGTGATTTGTTTAGTTTCTCTTAATGAATATCAAAAAATCATAAAAAATATGTATTTACATTAAATAAAATCTAAGTCCAAATAAAGCATTCTTTTAACAGGAACATTTGGTCTAGCAGTGGTAAATTAAATCTTTTGAAAAACTGATTGGTTTAAGTTCAGGAGCTCGAGAATATTTTTTTTAATGTTACTTTATTTTCTGTACATAAATACTTCCATATTTTAATTAAGAAATTCCATTACAGTATGATTAAAATATGAATATTACAAATGGTTTGTCAAGAAATACTTTCACCATGACCACTCTTCAACCACAAATACTTTCACCATGACCACTCTTCAACCACTTTTTGTTTTGATAAGACTGAAATTGAACATGCTATGCCATTTGATAGTATCTCCCGTGAAAGCTGTTGAGGTTATTTAAAATTGGAAGCTCATTTAAAATAACACTTAAGAATCATAAAACATATATTCGTAAATATTGATAACACTAACCGTGAGCTAGAAAATTTCTCAGCTTGTGAAGAAAATTAGTGTTATAACTCAAACTAGATACGGATGGCATAATTTAGTACAAGATTATATATTTTATTTCTACTAAATAAATACATTCATACTTTCTTGACTTCAATTATAGTACAATTAAGTTCAATATACAAGAAAAAAGTGACGTACCTAAAGAGAGGGCGAACAAACTTCATACGTCCAACATCAGATACAAACTTCACAACATTCTCCACGATTTCTGTCCAGTGAGATCGTAAGCCAAGCCGAAGCCACCTGTATATGAAAAACTAATACTGGGCTCATATTTTTTTTTTAACATAGATGTCACCCCACTATTGTATATTTTATGTTATTGACTGCCATCACAGAATTAAAATATCAAAGTGAAGAAAAAGTTATTCATAGAGAGATTTGAAAAATATCTTCTATATATTGTTTCTACCCTAACTTCTTGAAACACTTTGTGAAACTTTCTTACCTAAACTTAATTTCTGCATTTTGTGTGTCACGTAATCCGTACAATTCTGTAATTTTTTTCACTTTGGGAACAGACAAAGGTTTCTAAAATGGAAAAAATGTCATTAAATAACAAATTCTAAAAATTTTCAGATTCAATATGATATCTGTCATTAAAGGGTTAAACTGTGTTTATAAACAACAACTGTCACAATACCTGTATGTTTCCAAATTCCATTGTCACACATTTATTCCATAGCATTTCACTTTTAATTTTTATTGTTTGCCTTAAAGTTTAAATACATCTTTTGTTGTGTTCCACACACACTCAGAGAAAAAAAACATCATTGTTTATGTTATGGTGGTTTTTCCAGACATCAATTATTTTGCAAAGTGAAGTGCTATCCTAAAAAGTCGATTGTTATTACGTTATAATTCCTAATGATGCACTATTCTCGGATAAACTACAATACGAAATGTGTTAAAACTAAAATGAGTGAGGTTTACTTTATTACCTCTTGAAGTAGTTGGGCAAGGAATTCGATGATCTGTTGTGAAGTCATCCCAGCAATTTCATTGGCAGAGAAACAGTCAAGCTGTTCATCACTAGCAGCAACCCAATTCTTACATAAAGTGGTGCAACAGTCAACTAGAGACATGTCATAGCTGTAGGGACAAACCACAAGTCAGAGCCTAACATATCTGCCATATCATGAACATGATGAGCCTTACAAAAAAAAACAAAAAACATTTCATGCTTTTTCTAATACAATTGTGTGAATAAAACCCAAGTGCAGAGGGCTAGACATATTATCAATTTTTATAGTTCAATCTCTAGACATCAATCTTACTCTGGCTGTAATAGAGGAATTTTGTGTTTATAGAGCCAAGCATACTCATTACACTTTTATTCATTACATCAATCTTACTCTGGCTTTATTGGAGGCATTCCAGGTGTATATAGCCAAGCATTCCAGTCAACTTCATCCAGTTTGTTAGTCTGTAAACAAACAGTTAACATCATTACTGATAATGAAAAAAAAACATTACCACACTAAGTTTTGAAGGGTTTTGTTTAAAATGTAAGTTGTTTCTCAGTCTAAGAACTGAAAGCGTTTGAAATTTAAATAAATGTGCAAAACACACAAAAAAAGATTTGATATGTATCTTTGTTTTTGTTCCTTTTTGTCACATTTATTGTAAATACTAGCAGAAACAATGCACTACAGATGGCTGTTTTTGCTAGTAATTATTAATCGTAGGGTACCACTTTTATATCAGCACAATCTGAAAATTTTTCCTGTGCAATACTTTTCAGAAAAATCCTTTTTTCGAAAATGTTCACTTTTTCTAAATATTTTTTCAATGAGATGTGAATAATTTTTTTAAAAACTACATTTTTTAGGACTATATTTACAAATTACATCAATAAAGATATATAATCAAATCATCCTGTACAGTCCTATTGAAAGTTGTATTCTTGTTGTGAGGAGAGTAATTTTATTGAAAATTGTGTTCTAAAGAAATGGTTGTTGCACATACTGTATAGTTATTTTTCTAATTGTCTGAATCTTGAATACCCATAGCGTGAAATATTTTAGGGATTTTTTGCTTGTGTTACCATTCAATAGATGGCGCCACGTTGTATTTTCCTCATTTTTTAACTATGCTTTATGATAAGTCACCAAAATCCATCGTTTTTACTTTATTATTTCTAGTGTTAGTGTTTATTTCTAAACTATAATTTGGTTTTAGTTATGAGAGTTGTGGTACAATAGTTGGTTATGTAGTATTAAATGTATTACTATTAGAAACACTTAATACTAATACACATATGAAAAGAGCCAAACTTTGCTTACCTGGTCCTTAAAATATTCATATAGAAAGTCTTTCCATTCATCAGTGTCCAGTGACTTGTACTTGTACTTTTCTAGGTATGCTCTCAAGAAAGGTTCAAAAATTTCTAAAAAAAAAAAGACCTCAATAAAATAAAATATTAGTTTTGTCATAAAAATTACTGTTTTCATATCAAAGCAATACAAAATATTTGCTTTTCTTAGGCAAACTGTCAATACCAAATTGCTAAGATATAGAGAAAAGTATTTATTTACTATGACTACCATATTAATGGCTTGAGCTTAATTTAATAGTCAGTTTGAGATTTGTAGTATTTAAGTAATTTCATAATAATTTACCATGTTAGAATATTTGTTGCATATTTGAAACAAATAATTCAACCTTAAATATGGTTCTACAGAAATGCACATTCAGCTACATGGCAATGCTAGAAACCAAATCACAGAAATTATCCCTTGTCTTTTTCTCATCAACTTGAAACATGTTAAAATCAGCAAACAAGAATTTACATGTACAGACGGTATGAAGAATTAACAAATTAAAGTATAAAATTAACATCTTCTGAAACACTAAGTCCTATTATGAAAGTGAATGATGCATCCTTTCCTGTGTTGTTGATGTATAATTAAAAAAATAAATAAAATGAACATTTAGTCAGCCAACCAACACTATTTTTATGTACTTTCTAAAGTTCATTAAGTTTAATGAGACCCATAATTTAAAACACTGTTATTTATAATCATGTCTAGAAGGGAAAATTTAATGTGAAATATAAACCTTAAAATTTGTAGGGTCTTTTGTACTTTGAACACAAGTATCATTTTATAACCTAAATCTAATTACTGAAAATTTTATGTTAACAACTTTAAAATTTGCAAGTTTTACTATTTTGGAATCCCATTTTTTATTCAACATCTTTTATATTCGGCTAATTTTATTTTTGCTTTCATGAAAAACTGTGGCTAGAATAAAATTGTTTTCTGGAGATGATTCTTTTACCATCATCAATACATCATTAGATGCTATAGGTTGTAACAATCAAGGTAAACTTGACCATGAAGTTTGTCATAGAAAATCTTTTCCAGGAGTTTATTTCAACTTTAATTTTAATTAATAAACATTTAAGATTTTGATACGTCATGTTTATGAAATCGCTGAAAATTTGAGAATATGGTGGGTTCTCCATCTAGTTTTGTTTCTCCTGTGGGAAACACTGGATTGAATAGATTGTTAAGATGAATCACCAAAATATTAACCAAGTAATATTTAAAAACTGTACACACCAATAACAAACAAAATGATGAATATGGAGTTCACTGCTTCTGTACCAATACACAAACAAAATGATAAATATGGGATTTCACTGCTTCTGTACCAATACACAAACAAAATGATAAATATGGGATTTCACTACTTCTGTACCAATACACAAACAAAATGATAAATATGGGATTTCACTGCTTCTGTACCAATACACAAACAAAATGATGAATATGGGATTTCACTGCTTCTGTACCAATACACAAACAAAATGATAAATATGGGATTTCACTGCTTCTGTATCAATACACAAACAAAATGATGAATATGGGATTTCACTACTTTTGTGTATTTCTTTGATTGTTTCATCTCAGAATTAATTTAATTAATGATAATGTATCTTATTTTACAGCAAGTTGACAATGTGGTAAAAAAAAACAGTAATTAAAATACAGAAAATTGGTATAACATTTATACAAATCATAATTATTAGTTGAAAGCTAATTATTAGTTTATTATCAGTATTAAATAACATATAATTTTTCAAGTTCTTTTGTGTTACAGACGAGCTACAAAACATGTCCTCTTTTTATAAATACATTCTAGATAAAACCAAAAAAGCATGCCCCCATTTTCACATAGTAAATTCACCAGAGCATGTTCCCTTTCACATAATAAGTGTAACAGGTAATGATCAACAGACCTGGACCTCCCAACTTCTGTTCTAGATAAAACAACAATGTATGTCCTTTTTCATAAGGCACAATTGAGAAAGAATCATCAGGATCGACACCACACAGGTCCGGCACTAGTTTTGTCAAAGGATCATCTTTTCCTCTAGTGTCAATCTGTTTGATAGAAACAATAAAACTGAAAAATACACACACAAAAGCACTTTTCTACTGATAATAAAAATATTTTCTATATATGGCATGAAATATAATTTGGTAATTTATTACACTTACATTAACCCTTACCAGATTGGGCTGTCACCGAGATCCCTGGGTTTTTCTTTCTCGGAGAAGAAAAACTTAACCAAATAACATGTATTTTAGGAAAAATTTAAAAGATAAAATCTAATTTTAGCTTAAAAAAAAAAAAAATTAATCAATAAAAGTTCCAAGATGTTTTGTGTTTTTTTAAATTATTGATCAGAAACTTTCATTTTATTCATCCAGACAATTTCATTTTGACTGTTTTTTTGAAACTTTATTTTGCCAATTGCATTCGTCACAACTTCTAGCTATAAATCATAAAAACTTCTATAAAATGATATCAGGTCAGGCTAGGTAACAGTATTTTGTTAAAAGTATTTTTGATTGAAATCAATTTATATCTATTAAGTATGATTTGTTTTCAATAAATTGTAAGTTCTTTTATTTATATGTATAGTTTGAATATGATAAAACTTAAGACAATAAACACATGGCTAGTACACTCTAAGTCTAATGTGATGACTTTTCATAAAACAAAATTGTATATTTTGCACTGCTAACACACTGCAAACCTAATTAGGCTTACCTGATGACTTGTCATAAAACAAAGTCGTATATTTTGTGCTGCTAACACACTGTAAACCTAATTAGGCTTACCTGATGACTCGTCATAAAACAGTCATATATTTTGCACTGCTAACACACTGTAAACCTAATTAGGCTTACCTGATGACTCGTCATCAAACAACATTTACATAACTTTCAAACAAATTTGACATGGAAACATTTCTGGAACATCGAAAGAAACTGTTAAAAAGTTCCATTCTTCTCTGCAGGAGCTACATCTAATCACTTTGTCACACACACTCTGCACTAACATAAATATTTTATAACCTGCTCTATCCAAAGGTATTTAAAATTAGCTTCTGTTCTTCATTAGTAGTTGTTCCCACCCTTTTACAATCTCATATTATATGATGTGAGTAGTGGCCTCTAATAATAAATCTTCAGACAGGGAGGGAAAATCACTATAGAAATATAACTTGGTTAGTTGTATTCTCAAGGGGTGATAGTTTCTTAGCAAATAAAATCCCCTGCTTTGGGATGGGAAGAACAATTTAAAAATGTTAATAAATGCATTGTTTATAAGCAGAACTCTTCACAGCTGTGCAAAAAAGATAAATTTGAACATTTTTTTTTACATTCTTCTTTACTAAATTACACAAAATAAATATGACAAGATATCAATTTTTGAGTAAACGGTTGTTGAAACAGAGTTAGAATACCTAAAACACTCTCACTGATCTGGAAAGTGTTAAAATCTAGTAACAAGTATTTCATGCAGTGGTTCCTAGCCATCATTCATCAGTACTTTCACATTTCACTTTTTCCATTTGAATATTACACTAGAGTGTAATCTGAAATCAATTGTATGCTCTCTCACGTTTAGCCACTCAATAAGTGGCAAAACCTTTTTATAATAAGGTGAGTGATATAAGCTATCTGAAAACTACTTCAAAGACTTTGCAAAGCCTGTTAAACATTTTAAAAGTTGATCTGTTAAATTCATATCATCATGAGGACCTTGTGATGACCTTTGTTCCCGGATTGAAATGTAAAATCTACAACAAAGCAGAGTAGATGTTAACAAACATGGAACCTTTATCTGTGATACAGTAAAGCATTATGTTCTTCTATCTCATCTGGTTAGGTGATGTGTAATTCATAATATAAGTGTAAGTATGAACACTTGAGTATCAGTAGTACCACTTTATTGATACTTATCCTGGTTAGGTGATGTGTAATTCAGAATATAAGTTTAAGTATGAACACTTGAGTATCTGTAGTACTACTTTATTGATACTTACCCTGGTTAGGTGATGTGTAATTCATAATATAAGTGTAAGTATGAACACTTGAGTATCAGTAGTACCACTTTATTGATACTTATCCTGGTTAGGTGATGTGTAATTCAGAATATAAGTTTAAGTATGAACACTTGAGTATCGGTAGTACCACTTTATTCATACTTACCCTGGTTAGGTGATGTGTAATTCATAATAAAAGTTTAAGTATGAACACTTGAGTATCGGTAGTACCACTTTATTGATACTTACAGTATACTGAAGTTCTTTCCAGCCCCCCACAGCCTGAAACTGCCGGTGGGCTTCTCCATGCATACGCCCAGCAATTTTACGTTCAACAAAGACTGTGAATCCTTCATTTAGCCTATTAGAAACATTCTCATTTGAAAACATACTACAAATTTGGTATCTTTAGATACTGGAACAACATGATATGTATGTGGTTAAATAGAAACTATGAGAATCTAAAATAATCATACTTAATGACAACTTGTTCAGTTATGGATTATATTTTCATATAAACACAATTATGCTCATCTTGTTAGCCCAGTAGCTACTTTATTAGGTTTATCAAAATATACAAAAGTTACAGACTGAAGTGATTGAACATCAAAATTTCCATTCTTCACTTCCTGAAATTTCTTATTTTATTTGATTTTATTCATTAACAAAACTGATTATCAAAAGATCTGCAAGTTTTTGGGGGTTTGAAAAGAATATCAACTTTTGTAAAATTCCTTCACAGGGTTTCATCTTGGGGTAATAACTTAAGTTTAAGATAACATTTTTTATGTTTTCTCAGTTGTCTTTAATAATTTTGAAATGATTTTACAAACCTAATATCAGATTTTCAAACAAAACAGTTCCCTTAAAAAAACTACTTTATGAAACCGTCTTTAAATTATCATTTTTTTCAGTTTACTTTAATCGAGAAAGGTCAAATACCGTTTCTGTTCAACATACCAGAAATGTTGGAAGTTCTTGTTTGTCACCAGATTTCCTGTCCAACTGTGAGAAATTTCATGACCCACAACACCAGATAGAGAACGGTCACCAGCCTGAACAATTCGTGCATAAAAGTTATCAACATTATAAGGATATCTAACATGTGCATTCTCTGTGCACAAGATCATTTGACATATTTATAAAGTACTTTGATATTTCAATGGCTTTTACAAATGAGCAAAAGAATTACAATTAATTACTGCATATACTACTTTTGATGTAACAAGTTTCTTGGGTTTGTATCATAAACCACAAAAGTGGTTCATATTGGGGCTCACCCAGAAATTTCACAAAAAATTCTAATAGAACATGCAGGCAAAAACCATCTTTAAAAAGCAGACTTGTTCTTGAAACAACACTCAAGACCTTCTATCTCAATGGCCAAAGCAATTAAAATACTGATAACAGCAAAAAAGTTGATTTTCCGATTGTTAGACAAAATTAATCCATTTGTTCTTCATATTATTCTTGTTTTACAAGCCTACAGAAAAAGCAGCTATGAATATTTTATTCAAACCTGGACAAATCTACTAAAAAACTCCCATGTAGGTCATAGGACTATTTTTATGTTGATTCTTCATAAAGAAGGAAAGACTTATCAGTTTCTTTTTCATTACTGGCCAAGTTTATCTTTAAAGCCATTCAAGCACTGAAGCCTACAGCGAAAATGGCTAGGTATACTGCACCAAAATCTATGTACAGTTACTAAACAAACTCTTGCAAAGGTTGTAGGCCTATTTTCATGTTGATTCTTCAAAAAGAAGGAAAGACTTTATCAGTTTCTTTTTCATTACTGGCCAAGTTTATCTTTAAAGCCATTCAAGCACTGAAGCCTTCAGCAAAAATGGCTAGGTATACTGCACAAAAATCTATGTACAGCTACTAAACAAACTCCTGCAAAGGTTGTATGACTATTTTTAAGTTTATTCTTGAAAGACAAGATTTCTACCCTCAAAAATTGTCTAAATTCTTCTTTTCTTCTAACATAAGCTCTTTGAAGCCATTCAAACATTACAGAATTGTGGAAGCAATTTAAGCACTGTTACACTAGTCGGAGATGCATTGCTTTTGTAAAATAAACAATGTATATATTTATAACAGTGTCTCCAGCCTTATCATTATTGATTATAGTTCCACAATCCACTACAGCAAAAGTAGCTATAAATATTTTACTGATACCTGGACAATAGTAATGAATGCAGTACTGAGTATGTCATAGGCTAATCTTAAAATTAATACAAACATTGAGTATGTCATAGGCTAATCTTAAAATTAATACAAACATTGAGTATGTCATAAGCTAATCTTAAAATTAATACAAACTTCTACAATATTTCGCTCTGAAGAATCTCTCTTAGCCCTTCACTTTCCATCACTGAAAAAATCTGGTGTTTTACTAATATGCATTAATTGGAAACTTCCACGTTGAAGATTCATCATTTCTAGAGTTTGCTGTTGTACTTTGTCTCTACGTGGTTTTCAGTGAGTTTTCTAACAGTACATTATTACCATAGTAGATTTCTCTACTCTTGTGAGTGGTGACTTATTCTACTGATTTTTGTATTTCACTTGCTATATTGATAAGTACTATAGACATAGATTTGTAGTTATGTATGTCTAGTCAGTTTGTTATACAGAAGTATTTTTCTTAACCCAGAGATGGAAAAACTATGGCCTGTTGCACAATGTAATCTGGCCCAGGGTGGGCCAGATTACATTGGACAACAGGCAATAGTTTTTTACCTGGGCCAGATTACATTGGACAACAGGCAATAGTTTCCCCTATTGCCTGTTGTCCAATGTAATCTGGCCCAGGTAAACTATTGCCTGTTGTCCAATGTAATCTGGCCCAGGGAAAATATGGCCTGTTGTTCAATGTAATCTGGCCCAGGAAAACTAATGCCTGTTGCACATTGTAATCTGACCTAATGCCCAATTTAATTCTATAACAGGGCTTTATGTCAAGGGATAACAAGTTGGTGATATGTCCCATTACTTTTTTCTAGGACTTTAATGATAAGAAAAAGATTCAAAGGCATAGATGTGATATATAAAATACATATCTGGGTGTAAGTTTAAGTAGTGGACCAAATATACTGTACGACCTGCATATTTGCATTTCCCTTTATGGCACACCTACTGGAAAATTTCCCAAACTCTGCCTTAATCCCTTTCTTGGCAAAGGAAACCCACTCTACCCATTCCCTTGTCAAGAGTTTTCACACTAAATCCAATGTTATATAACTTATAGGGACTTTTTTTTTAATAAAGTATACAATACATTAATTAAATTTAGAATTTTTGAAATTTTCTCAACTTTTCATAGTTCCTGGGAATACAAAACACCCAGTTTCAAAAGATTTAATTTATTAGTTAATTTCAGTTCCGTTCGATGCTATTTGTTTCTTCTTAATGGTGTTGATAAAAACACCAGTTCCTGAGAAACATGTGTAAAAAGAAAATGAGACAAACTGTTCAGCTGTGGTTACAAATATTTCTTTTAACTGTCCAAATTTTAACATTTATTAATTTATCTGAACTTACTGAATGATAATCCTGTCCTCATGTATACATATATTAGACAGACCCAGAACCAACGATGTTGGTATATGTATACATATATTAGATAGACCCGGTACCAACGATGTTAATATATGTATACGTATATTAGATAGACCCGGTACCAACGATGTTAGTATATGTATACATATATTAGATAGACCCGGTACCAACGATGTTAATATATGTATACATATATTAGATAGACCCGGTACCAACGATGTTAATATACGTATACATATATTAGATAGACCCGGAACCAACGATGTTAATATACGTATACATATATTAGATAGACTCGGAACCAACGATGTTAATATACGTATACATATATTAGACAGACCCGGTACCAACGATGTTAATATACGTATACATATATTAGACAGACCCGGTACCAACGATGTTAATATACGTATACATATATTAGATAGACCCGGTACCAACGATGTTAATATATGTATACATATATTAGATAGACCCGGTACCAACGATGTTAATATATGTATACATATATTAGACAGACCTGGTACTGACGATGTTGGTATATGTATACATATATTAAACAGACCCGGTACCAACGATGTTAATATATGTATACATATATTAGATAGACCCGGAACCAATTATGTTAATATTAGATAGACCCGGTACCAACGATGTTAATAGGTATATGTATACATATATTAAATAGACCCGGTACCAACGATGTTAATAGGTATATGTATACATATATTAAATAGACCCGGTACCAACGATGTTAATATATGTATACATATATTAAATAGACCCGGAACCAATTATGTTAATATTAGATAGACCCGGTACCAACGATGTTAATAGGTTCTGAAAAATGCTGAAGAAAGTGTTGAAAATCATTTAATAATCATTAATATTTTCATAGAACAGGAAACATTCTTGAAGAATAAAAGAATAAACTATACTTACAGTTACATGAAAGTAGCCTATAGCTGTAACTATACTTACAGTTACATAAAAGTAGCCTATAGTTGTAACTATACTTACAGTTACATAAAAGTAGTCCATAGCTGTACCTATACTTACAGTTACATAAAAGTAGCCTATAGTTGTAACCATACTTACAGTTACATAAAAGTAGCCTATAGCTGTAACTATACTTATAGTTACATAAAAGTAGCCTATAGCTGTAACTATACTTACAGTTACATAAAAGTAGCCTATAGTTGTAACCATACTTACAGTTACATAAAAGTAGTCCATAGTTGTAACTATACTTAGTTACATAAAAGTAGTCCATAGTTGTAACTATACTTATAGTTACATAAAAGTAGTCCATAGTTGTAACTATACTTATAGTTACATAAAAGTAGTCCATAGTTGTAACTATACTTAT